CTATCCATTTTTACAGAGGAAATAAATCACAAGATTATCCAGTCATTTAAAAAAACTAAATGATTTGTATTATCTAACCCTAATGTATATTTGATCTTTCCTTGACTAATAACCCAGGTAATTCTATTATTTTCATACATTTATTTAAGTTCACAAAGTCATTCACAAACAACATCTCTGAAAATCCAGACTTTCACTGTAATGCAAACTGATGTACCAAAACTCCAGAGTTAAAAGGTATTACAGAATGTAAAGTAGGTTCCACTGATTATTATCTTTTAGAAAGCACTTTTTTCTTTAAGTCTCCTTTATTGTGAAATGCTATATAATTACAATTCCATTGTACAGCATGCTACTAAAATAAAGCACTTTATATAAATAGGTTTTAACAAAAGACTGTAAGATTATATTTAAACACTTTAATTATCAAAAAGCTTAATAGTTTTACAATTTTTTATAATTAAAAATAAACTAGAAACACTCCTTCATTTTACAGAGAAATGTAAAGCTTAGAAAAATTAAGTGACTCCCCAAAAAGAGAATTATATAAGTACTGGGGATATAAACCTAAACAAGATGTGTGGTCCCTATATCCAGTCTAATTAAGGTAAAGCAAAATAGTGCTATCATGAGAGAAAAGCTTTGCCACATATTAGAATTCTGGTTCAAGTATACTGGGAAACTTGAAAATAATAGTTAACAAAAAACAAAAGACCAGATAATACAGTCAAGACAGCAAATAAGAAGGAAAGAACTGTAGAGGGATACAGTCAGCTGGTAGAGTGCTTGCCTCCCATGCACAAAGCCCTGGGTTCAATCCCCAGCACTACCCAAAAAAAAGAAGAAGAAGAGCAAGAACAAGAAGAAAGAAAAAAACAATGGCTCACAATTTCACTGTTACATCTATTCACAGGCAAATGCCTGACATGCTGTTATAGGAATAATGGAATAAAATTAGAAAGGCACTAGACATCTGGTGTGTAACATCAGACACAGTTCTCCATGCATACAGGTGTAAATGTAAGTACAAAAGTTCACCAAGAGGCAGGAGTGATTTGCCCTTAGTGAACAAATTACCTTTCTAAAACAATGTGAATTTTACAGTCAACAGAGATTCTGCAGTCTCTGTAGCTCAAGGAATAGTTAAAAAAATAAATAAATAAAAGATTAAATGCCCTTGTCTATTTGTTGTGCTTTGTTATTGGTTTAACAAATCTTTATTAATTATATGACTGTTGAAAACCATTAGGAGTTTTTATAAATTTGTAACCTCAGTCTACCCTGCCACAAGTAAATCCCACCAACCAAGTACTCTTTTAGGTAGTAAGTACCAACTGGGGATATAGCTCAGTTGATAGAGTGCTTGCCTTACA